ATTGAACAGTCTTACAGTTTGAGCATTGTTTATAAAGACACACTCCAACACACAAAATTCTGAATTTTTATTATATGGTAATGTAATTTAAAAATCCCCAACCGAAGCTGGTCTTTCCAAATTATCAGACACTTGATTTCTAAAATGCGTGTCGGAAGGTGTTAAGAGATTTTAATCAGAATTTCGACAGGATCCTGCACAGAGGAAGGCAACCACATTTGGAAAATGCACCTTTTTGTCAAATGTGGAAACCGAAGACTTTGCCGCTTTTGAAGGAGGCTGACGGGAGCTGCTCGGGCGCCTGGCGCAGCCCCGGCCCAGGAAGGCAAATCTTCCAGAAGAGATTTAAATTTAGGAGCCTGGATTTCATGTAAGCTGAGTTGAAGCATTTCACAGATACACAGAGGGAAGGGGTGGCCATGAAGATGAGGCCCCCTTAGCAGAGCCCAACCAGGTCTCATAGAACACAGGGGCCCAAAGCCCAAGAACACAACATCATGGGGAGATCCTCGCTGCAGCCCTTCCCTCCCCATCCTCAGCACCCACCAGTACCTCCCTGCAGACGCCTCCCATGGGAGCCACTCACTTGGGATGTTTTGCTCCAACTGTGCGGTGATCCTGAGGGAAAAGCCAGAGCATCTGCACACATATTTGTGTCTGCTTGTCAGAGATTTTCTCCTCTATTTATTAGTGTTTCATCTGTCTTGAAGCACAAACTGTACAAATTACCAGAGGGTTAACACCATCTCCCGACTCTCCTGCGTCTGCTGCCTTCACCAACAGTGGTCTCCGCCACGCGTAACTAAACCCCACGACGGGGCAGGGTGCTGCTGCGCCACCGCCTACGAGGACATCTCACCCGCACCAGAAACCACACAGACGAAAGAGTCCTACGCTGGTACTTCTGATCTCTCTCTCATACACATATAGCTGCAAAGGAGTAAGTCCAATAACCAAGTCTCACTCAGAGGCAAGGCTGCAGTTACACTCACATTTCTTTATTTTTCCACCTACCTCCTGCACAGCCCTGACTCTGCGATCCCAGAGCCACCAAAGGCGGCCTGGAGATCCCGCTCACCGTCCCCGAACCCGCCTGCGGCTGCTGCCTGCTCCCGCTCTCTCCATCTGGGCCCCGCATGCACCGTGCCCGCTGCTCGGCGCCCGGAGCAGCAAGGCCAGCACCAAACACCAACGTACAGATTCACACCAGTGAATTAATTTACATTTTTTTTCAAAGGTGAGGCTGTGCACTTGCTTACTAAGTTTAACAGACATTAACTGTTGAAGCACAAACTGTAAAAATTATCAGAGCGTTAACACCATCTCCCGACTCTCCTGCACCTGCTGCCTTCACTACTGCTACTTCACTGTAGAAAACGCCAGGTGCCAACATTGCTGTCCCCAGGCAACTTCAGGTGTTGGATGGATTTGATCAACCCAACCCAGTAATTCAGTGCTTAAACACCCTGCAGGAATCTCTCTGTCCCCTAGTTTGATCCACAACCCATTGCTCCATGGAGCTATGAACACCAGCATGGATGCAGCCTGGTGTTTTCCAATCCGCATCCCACTCCACTCTTTTTAGAACCAGCGGGTGACTCGCAATGTCCCAGCTCTGCTGCAAAGCGGAGACACGGTGCGCAGCACACACCAGCTGGGCCTCTGTGGGTGTAGGAACCAAAGTTCAGGCAAGTTACATTGTTCTTTTCACAGACTACCAGCTCACATACATGGTATAAACAACACATAAAATTCTTTTTTGTTTGCCTTTGCCCACTTGGTTTGTTAAAATATCACTATTTTAATGCTTATTAAATAGATGCTTGGCCAAACTAAAATTGACTTGGGACCTCGAGAGTGCTTCTCTCCAGTACCTGCACAGATGCTAAATGAAGGGAGCAGAAAACTGATGAGAAAGGCAAAGGAATCAAAGGGAAAATGATGGTTAAAAGCAGCAGAGAGCTACAGCAAACAGTGCTCTAAGCAGCGCTTGGCTCTTCTAAACCTTAGCTTCCTCATTAGCCCCATGAAAGTTCACATAGCTCTGGATTAGCAAGAGGAAGGAGCCAGCTGAACTGGGGGTTGAGTTCAGTTATCAATGACTGAAGCAGGAACCTGAGCAGCAGCCCAGCATAGAGCTGTTTAAAACCAAGATCTGTTAAGGAGAGCACAGCCACTATAAAGCATCTTTCCTTGTGTCTTCAATAGAAAACACAGCACAATGATTCATATCCAAGGGAAACTTGGAAAAAATATTGCTCTGGGTGTCCAGATGAAAAGCAACAGGGGGCCACGGTGCCTTAGCACTGCTTAGGGCTCTCCTCTGGTCTCAAACTCTCACCTCAAGCAAGCAGCATTACACTGAAAGCTTCTGCCCAGGGTGGAGCAGTGAGAGCACCCTCGCTCGAGCAGGCAGGTGTCCGTCAGCCTCCCTGGGCGTTCACACGAGCTGCAGGACGGTGTCACTAACCGCACCGAGGTCTCCGGCAGCGCCTGCCACGCTGCTCCGCTCCGGGCAGCGCGTGCGTTTCCGTGTACGGGCACTTGAGCACCCAAGGCACATGGAGACACTCCTACCAATGCATCAGAGCTCAGGAGAGCAGCCAGAACCTGCAGTGCGGCCGCCAGGTCTGGAACAAGGCGCTCGCTCCCCTCCCCAGCTGTGTGGGGAGCCTGGGAGCTCCCTGGCACAGAGGAACAGCAGGTGACAGCCTCATATGGCCTCATGTGCTTCTCCGTCTCCAAACACCGAGGACACTGACAGGATGGGGAATCGTCCCTCGGGATGGCACCTGAACGGTGCAGTTTTGCTCCTCGTGTAGCCTCACCACAGAGCAGCGGCGGCGCTGCGAGAGCCGTGTGGGCTCACGGCCCGGCCGAGGCCTCGTCCCGCCGCGCCGGCCTGCGCCAGGCAACAGCAGAGACTGCCGGCGGGAACCTCCAGGCACTGAAACAGCAGAAAGAAGCTGGGCAGTTAACACCATTCATCAGGAAAAGCAATAAGGGATGATGCCGGTGCTTTTGAATGTGCTGGATCAATTTAGTTATTCCAACCCAAGCTAGAGCCACTGTCTACAGACAGCTCGTTTTGGGAGAGATAAGCTCTTTTAGTAGCTGATACAGGCAATAAGTAAAGTCCATTCCCTGCTCCTTACTGCAGTAAATACATCCACTCTTCTGAAACATAAAAGCAGATGCCATGGAACAGCTTATTTTATTTTACTGCAGACTCCTGAGTCAAAGGCAGTAACAACACGGTCCCCCTGTCAAGAGGGAACGAGCAGACCCGTGTGTGAAAGGCGGCTCAGTCCATCCGGGTGTTACCAGAGGGTGTTCACAGTGACCGCGTGGCCACGAGGCGGCCAGAGGAGCACGCGTAGGAGCAGCGGGCGGCCGACGCGAACGCGTGCCGGAGCCGCACGCTGCGCCCGAGCGTCCACGAACACACGCGCCCCTCGCTGCAAAACAGCTGCAAGAGGGGAACACTCACCCCCTCAGAGGAGAAAAACAAAAACAAGCCCCGTCGCTGAGCGCACGTATGAGATTCCAGTCACGGCAGTGACAGCGCAGCCAGTGGCCAACCACCTTCCAGAGACATCATCACTTACAATAAACCTATCCCCTTACATAACTTATATAGTGTATATATAAGTTTTACTTGTGAATACATAGATATAAATCACACACATGTCTGGCAGCGTAGAACGCAGATGGAAATATTATGAGTAACGCTCAATTGAAATATAAGCACATAATTAAGAAGTTATTAGCAAGTTTAAAATTGAATTAAAAAGCTATTCAAAGTGTCTTCAATATTTATGTTCAAGTAAGGGCCAGAAAAACCACAAATTAGTACTGATAAAAAGAACTGGCATTGTATTTCCCATGTTATGCCAAAACTCAAGTCATTTCTCATTGTCACGTCGCCATGAGGGCACCTCATTAACTAGAAAAAAAAAAAATCAAAAAACCTGATTTTAAAGACTTAGATTAACAAACTATATTGTTTAGGCACCCTCAGTTGTAAACTAATCCTAAAAAATATGCATTCCTTAGAGTATCAGAAGAGAAGTAGCAGGACAAACACCCACACCACCCTTGTTCAGTGGCATGAACAGGTCTCCATGGTAAAAAAGGTAGTACTGGAGATGGGGGACAGAGGGATAACACAGTGTTGGCCTTTAAAACAGCAACATTTACCACCATTGACTCTGCAGTAAACTCCTGAGATATCACAGGGGCTTCTGCTGAGGACACACCAGACACGGTGGTTATTTCAGAGGCTACTTGCTATCTGTGCAGGTCAGGCTTTAGTGACAGCTATAGCTCTCATTCAGTACACACGTGCTCCTGGGTGAGAGCTGAACACCTACAGCAACACTGCCAGGATCGTTTGGGACACTTAGTATGGCTACAAACCCTGGTACCAGTGTCTTTTATCAGAAATTACTTTATTAGAATGTAAATGTAGTGTACAAGCACCAAATCATTTTAGCTTAACTATTTATATGGACATTTGATATATAAATGACTAGTATTTTAAAACACAGATTTATATATATAAAAAAACTTTTCCTTTTGTGAAGATTATTCTCTATTCCTATTCTGATAGAAGACTCAAAGGTCCCTGGTACCTGGTGTGCACAGACACCTATACAACTCGAGTTGGCACACACACACACACACACACACACACACGCACGCACACACACAGAGAACTGTACGTTTCACTGCTACATGAATAGCCTTTTAAATAAAGAACCCAAGTTCTGAGGCTAGAACCTGTACATCTGCTATATTCTATTTGTGCATTTCAGGTAGCTTCATCGTCACTCAAGTTCCTCTTATCTTGTAATGAATGTAAGTCAAGGTGGTCTGGAACATAAGAAACCACCTGTCACTCATTCTCACTAATAAAGCCACTTTCAAGTCTTGCAATTTCTTGTTTTTTTCTTCTTTTGGGCTGTGCAAATCCAGGCAGGTGTGCAGACCGCAAAACTGACGTCTGGCCTCTTCCAAACCGTGGTCAGTTCTGTGTTATCACACGGAGACGACCACGTCGAGATAGAGTCTGTCGTAGGATTCCCGGAAGCACAGGATGAGGAGCAGACTGAGCAGACACGACCCCGGCAGGCACCAGTTGAACCAGGAAAATTCTGTTTTTTTTTAAAAAAAAAAAACAGGTTCAATCTACCAAGCTTGGTTCAAGCTACCAAAACTTAAAACACAAAGTCAAAAACACAGCTGGTGGGTTTGAAGGAAATTGCTGTATTCTCACTCTGCAGTGGATAAAGTAGATAATATGGTCTATGAGACTGTTGTGAACTGCTTTTAAAACACATATAGCCACTAGCTGCTGTTAATCCTTCTTACTGAATGTGTCAATTGAGGGTGGAAAGAAAAAAAAAAAATCTATCATCACTAATGAAGAATAAATGACTCCTGAACACTCTCTTCATTAGCACTTTGATTTCTGAGAGTTGAAAAAAACTAAACAAAGAAAAAACATAAGTAAAAGCAAAATTTGACTTTTTAAATCAAGCCTGCTCCATGTTTTGGGGGTGAAGGAGGGGAGAAGACTAAATGCCCCAGAAGCTACTTATACATAATACAGTGAATTCAATTTAAAACCAGTTGCATAAGCAGCTCTCCAGAAGCCTCTTTTTTAGCTGTTAGACATAATGTACTGCTCTTAAATGTGTCTGTTCCACAATCAATAAAGCCTCTCTAGCGCCTGAGACTTGACTACTATTTAGCAGTTCTATTCAGAAACAAGTGTATCGTAATACTTTATTTTTTTAAATCTGTCTTAATTTACTGAAGAAGCATAATTTTTGCTGGACTGTGTCTCTTACTGAGTATTTTAACAGAATCTGAACACTCTCTCATAGTCTGAGTTAACGGTACCACAGACTTCAGCAATGCTATTTTCTTTAAACACATGTTGCTAAGAAAAAAGCACAACTTCTATTATACAGTGGAAAGGACAAAAATCAAAAAGCACAAGAAATCAACCCCTTGAAAACAGCCACATTCAAAACCACTTCCTCAAGCCATTTACAGATTTTCTTTTTTTTTGTTTTGTTTTTGTTTTTTGTTTTTTTTGGTTTTTAAGGCAGTCATCTTGTTAAAGCCTTAGTAAAGTCTTTCCTAGCTTGGAGAAGACTATGCTATGTAATCCCAGAAGTCAAAGGGAAATGCTTCACTTTTTTTTTTATATAGAATAACACTCCTGTTTAATTGGATTAAACATACTTTAACGCAAATATCTCCAAAGACCAACTTCTACTTTTAAATCTTTCACCTCTTTTTCTACATTTTTCAGGGCTTGGCTCCTTCACAGCCTTTGTAATTGGAACATGGTATATCAGAGTTTGAGAAGAAAAAGAAAGGAATCGGTATTAAAATTACTGAAAGATGATTTGGTGTAAAATCAAGTCCGAGGGAACAAGCTGAATTTGCTTGAATTCTGGTTTACCTGTAAACTTCTTAAATGTCATTGGAAGATGTATTGGAATCCATGGAGAGGCAGATGTTTAAGATCATTATCCACCTCGTAAAGGATTTTTCTTTAATAAAAGCAGCCCATAGCATCAGCTCGCATTGATCACCTCAATTGTACTTCTGATCTCACTGGTGATACTGCATCCCTGAACTGGATCATCCTGAACACTTTTTTCCCCTCCCTTAAGAGAAAGGCAGGAAAGATTCCAAGTAGATGGATATACTAATTTTAGGTTTATTTTCACCTGTGTTTACTAATTTTAGGTTTATTACCTGTGTTTACTTGTATTTGCTATGAAAAGTACTACTAGAGGAAGAATAAAATGGTCCCAAATACCTTGTAAGGGTGTGAGTTCACTCTATCATAACTTCTCAGTCAGAAGAGGGTCAGACCATCAATCCCTGTATCGATTATATCCTAACACTTGATTAAGCCACTCAGAACACGGGACTGTTACTATGGAAAATGCTGAAAATATCCCCAACGTATTCCATGTAATCTTTTTAGCTCCACTCTAAATGTTGCAAGTAATAGTATATGTGAACATAGCTCAAGCCCATTAATATTAACCAAACAATATTCCCTTGAAAGTTAAAACTAAATATCATGACCTGCTGGATAGATTTTTTTTTTTTTTTTTTAGAATGATGGAGTTCAATAAAAATATCCAAAAAATCGTATTTCTCTCAATTTAAGTTCACAGGACAGAACTATGAATAGAATTATTATTCTGCATAAAATTACTTGCCGGAAAGAAACACAAAGTTGAAAACTAGTAACCCTCATTATTTGAAACACAATTTACTCTAAAATTGTCAGTATCCTCTTGGATGGGAGTTAACTATAAGAGTTAGGATGCATTGATGACAGTTACCAGTTTCATCAATTACCACTGATAAATGTTAAATTTTATAATTTGAAAATTATAATTGAAAAGTTATCACCTTTTAATGCTTCCAAAGCAAAACACTGTTTTAAATATTTTGCTCAATAAGCAAACATTTATCCAGATTACTAAATTTAATACAAAAATTCTCAAATTCAAAAAGCATTAATAAAGGCCACTTCTATTTTAAAGCAACATTGCTTCTTATTTTACGATTTAGAGTAATAGAGTATGTTTTATAATCTACTAAACAGCAAGGTGAATGTTATGGTCAGGAAATATAAGGAAGGCAATATTGCATGAGAGAAAAAAGTCTATGAAGAAGTCTATCAAGAGCTGCTGAAAATATCAAACAAAAAGCTGTTCTGCCTCATTAGGGCCCCGGGATGATCTCAAGGACTGTTCCGTCTCCGAGCAGCGGCCCCGACTCCACGTGCTCTCATCCTCAGCAGCACGTCCAGCCAGCAGAGCGACGCTGGACATAACAGGGCATTTCTCTCCTGGCTCCCCCGGGCAATAAATTTATCCCCTGAAGCATAAGATTGGATTAGCATTATTATGGCCTTGAATGTGCATAGATAACAACATTATTAATGGGAAGAGCATTATGCAGGCCTTTATAAAAGTATGATCGTGTGTATCTTGATACTTTCTGGCTACAGCAAAGTTTAAGTGGAATCCGACTATATATCTTGCACCAAAGCATTTTATTGGGCCATTAACTTGCATCTGCAGAACATTTAGATTCCTTTTCCCCCAGTGATACACAGGGGAATTTCACAGATTTGATTATTAACAAAAACTCCATGCACAAATCTCCCTCTCACTGACAAGAATACGTCTTCAAGGAGAATTATATTTTCTAAGTAGCTCATATTTCTTACCTGTATGGTAAAATGTGAGGAAAAACAAAAGCACTCCCATAAACACGTTACTCAGGAAGGTGACAACTCCGCAGGTAATTCCCTCTGGAACGGGGTAGACTGTTTCCACAAAGAGCTCAAAGAATATCGGTACGCTGCTGTTCAGGAATATACCCAACAAAATACAGGATGTGTACAGTGTAGCTGGAACAGAAACAAAAGCAGTTATTAATTTCACACCGACTTCTTCTTTTGTTATACTTAAAGGTGTCGAGAATATTAACGCTTAAGTAAATGAAAAAATGGATCATCTTATTTCTTATCCTCTGTGTGTCATAAAGCATATAACATCCTACTGGTTTTAGGTAGGATATTTGCATTGATCTGGAAAAAAAAAAAGTCCTACTAGTTTTAGGCAGAATATTTGCATTGATCTGGGAAAAAAAACCAGAAGTATAGATTTATTTTTTTAAAAGCAAAACCCACAAAGACACATTCAATGGCTTCAAATGCCCTTAAAAATAAGCGGGAAGTGGCATATGCAAAGCGTCACCTGGAGGTTGAATTCTCCAACATGAACTGCAACCACTGTCCTGCACAAAATTAGAACAATTAATGCACGCGATTAGAAATGGGAATGGAATTAACCTTCCAACTTAGTGGTAAAGGCCAGAAATAATTCTGCTTTCATTCTACAAATAAATACTAATGATCTACCAAATATTAAGACATTAGTATTCAGCACGGTCTGACCTGCAACATGTTGAATCCCTCACAGCTTCAACAGGAAATGAAAGGCACCCAGTGACTGGCAGAAATAGGCCATTATTTAATAAAGCAGATTATTCTCCACTAAAGAACTATTGCTTTTCTCGGATAAGTAACAGAAGAATATAAGCATTTCTTCAGCAGTCTGATATTTTATTCTACATGTCCTAACACTGCCAAATTCTCTGCAGTGCGGTAAATGCTGAAAGCACCTATATTGTTTATTAATATACCTACTCTGTCTATTTCTGGAAAAATAAAACTTTAAAAAAAAATCTAGTAGCTTTGGATTCTGAGGAATTTAAGTCTCTGCTTAAACATCATCCTGTAAGGGGAGTATTTTTGAACCTGCAGCCACTAAGAACTGAAGTAATCAGTGTGGGAGTAGAATACCAAAAAAGTTCTGGAATAATTCCTGAAGTTTCTACAAAACTGAAAAGAAAAAAAAAAGCAAAAACAAGACATAACAAGCAAAAAAAAAAAAAAATCTCAGGAGCAAATTATTGCATATTTCATACCATCTCCTCACTGCAGTGGGTACAAAAAACCTAGACAGAATAGTTTTCATGTATATATTTATATAAAAAATGGAAAATGCATTTGCAGTATATTTACTTTCTCCTGTCTTGGAAAGAGAATTGAAACAACTCTGTGTTCACCTTCTGTTGAGCATTGCTCAATCTTTCAGTTTAGAAACTGTTAAGAAGCAGGAAACTTCCAGCTTACAAAAAAAAAAAGTGCCATTTGTTAAAATATGAATCATGGAAAAGGCATAAAGGCTTTTGGAGACACGGCAGAAATGACTGCCTATCAGATCCCTCTTTTGATGTGGGTTGCTTCCAAGGCACAGGGACATATTTCTTTCTCTACAGAAAAATTCACTTGGACAGGGAAAAAAAGGACAGAAGAGTATCAGAAAGATGATACAGATGGCATAGCTTCAGGAGAGGGCAGCTGGCTTTCTTTTTTCCCTCCTTTTTTAAAAAATATGCCACAATGTTCTGGGTTGTTTAAAAAAATGTAATGTTTCACCTCTCATTCTTTTATAATAAACTGCCAAAAAAAATTAAAGGAATTGATGCAATATATGTTCAACAGTTCAGAGAGAGCAAGAAAAGAAGTGTATTCGGAAGCTCTTCCTAATGGGGTCTTCTAGCTGAAGCTGAATAATTGATTCGAGTTATAACCTCCATGGATTTTCTGCTGCAAGTCCTCACCAGTACTTCAAGTTTCATAAACCTCTCCTTCAGCTCAAACAACACAGCAGACTGTTCTCTTTCTAACTGCTGTCAGAGCCAGTTAAAAAAGAATCAGAAAATTGAATTCAACTATTTGAAAACATTTTCATTTGGCTCGAGAAAACGCCAAATGAATGAAATACAAGAATCTCTAATGACAAACACACACCTGCCCCTCACTAAGTTCAACTAAAGGTAACTACAGGTAGTTCTAGTTCACTAGAAAACTTCTAGAGAAGTTTTCCGAACAGAAAAAGAGGGAGCAGTACTAATTTTGTGTTAGAAAACTCAGACAGTGGGAGCAGCAGGCGTGGGGCTTATTTCATCTTCTAGCAGCTTCCTCAAAAGCGGAGCTGGTTGCGGATACTGCTGGAGGGCAGCGTGTCTGCTTACGACTGAAACTTCTCCCCTAAGCAGCAATACCTAGGAAAAGGGAATGGTATGTCTCTGAATAGAGGCAACTTCAAGAAATATAGTTTTCAAAATTCAGATTTGCTTGGGGAAATGGCAGAAATATGCAACCGATATTGGCAGGCATTTAAATGATTGAGGTTTTAATTGTAGGGTGTACAACAGGGGCAAATGTTTCAAATAGAAACCTTGAAAATAAATTTAATAAACTAAAATATGCAAGTTGAATTATGACACTTGATCATTACTTGGTAAAATGTATTAAAGAACCAGACTGCAGTCAAGCAAATATAGTAAATCCATACTTTTGAGTCTCCACCCTTGCGTTCCTTGTAGCTACAGCCTGCTTTAGTCACGTAAAGGCACCCACCAACACACACTTCCTCAGTGCCGTGACCAAACCACTCGCAGTCCTACCCTCTTTCAACCTCCCCCCCATACTCTAACATCATCTGCCTTATGTGCAGACGCCAGGGCTGTTGGTTGAATACCAATTACAAAATCTTCGTGCTGGGGTCACCGATGGTATTCACGTAACCATCCCTTCCTTCGGGAAGCTGTCGGGATGCTCCGTAATCTATTCAGAAGTAAGAGCTTTTATAAAAACAAGGCGTACCTCTCTATATGCACATTTTTGAAACCAAAGCAGGAAATGTCAAAGCAAAAGGATAGGCAGAATATTGCTTCCTGCAGATGCCAAGATAAATTCTAAGATCTAATGGAAATGACATCTTAACTCATGAACCACAAAAAACAGCTCTGAAAACAACTTAAACATCTGAAAACCTACAGAATTTTCCCTTAACACAGATATGCATTTTAGTGATAGGAATACATTTTTATTTGATGTTGCTGCAAACCATTCAGGATCTGCCCCGGCACTATCCAAATAATTTTATTGCAGCAGCTTGGAGATTGAAAGTCACAAATCCAATCGATCGACTACACAGAAAGTCCAAGATAAGATATGCAATTTCAGAAAAATAAGTAATTGGAATAAGCCAGATAAATATGAGTTCAATAGTTGTTTTGTCCTTTTACTTCACACACAAAGTCTCCACTTTCCGCTCCAACTCAAGGGCTCCAAGATACTGTAGTAAGGATAATGCTACTATTAACGGAGAACATTTAGTGCCTTTTACCGTGACCTTGAACATGAATAACTACTAGGATTTTACTCTTTAGAACAGCATTTAAAGTTGCAGTGATTTTTTTTTTTAATTAAGACAATCTTGATTACAGTCATTGGAAATCAATATAAGGATATGAAAGTGCTGTTAAAAAATAATAAAAAGAGAATATTTGCTATGAAACTAGTATTATGCCCACAGCTAGATAAACAACTAGTTTACGTTTGTTTGGATAGGAGCATATGCTGAAGAAATGTGTCCAAGCATAAAAAGTCTGTAGAAGTCTGTAGACAACAATGAGTAATTACTGGACATAAAAACATACACACACGAAAACTCAGAGAAAAAAACACTAATGTTTCATATTTTAAACATCCTTGCATGCATTAAGAGAACAGGAAAGGCAAAACTCCCAACTAAAGCACAACTGTTCCAGAGAATTGGTCTGGAGCTCCCTTGGCAGGAGGATCAAATTGGTTCGAGTCACGTTTGACATGTGAGGCAACCCATGCTATTTCCTCAGTATTCATTCTCCTTCTACTGGCCCAAAAGGAAACAAGGAACCATATGTGCCATGACAATAGTGTCATGGATGCTATTAGGTAAGACAAAGCAAGGTATGACTCACGACTGATACTGGTATGGTGGCTTAGCACAAAAAAAAGAGAAAAATCAGGAAGTTAGATTCCTCCTTGGCTACTACAGGTCTTTAGCTACAGCATGGCAAATACATGCCTGTGTCCCCAAATCAGAGCTTATTTATTGCACAGTTGTCTTCTCTGGCATGAGCTTCATAGCAAAAAAAGGAGATTACAACAGGGACTTATTTACATAGCAGTACACATCTATTGCAACATAAGAACCGTTCAGACATACAAACACATGCCCAGAACTCCCCAACATGACCTGTAATAGTTTCAGCAATCTACTCTTCAATTATGCCATCTTCTTTTACTAACACACACTGGTTCACAACTACAGAGCCTGATCCAAAGCCAAATGAAATCAGTGGAGAGATCCCCATCGACCCAAATGGCTTTTATCAGCCCATTGGCATGTTAGCAGATTTTTAATATAAGCAATATGCGATATCGCTGTTCCTTTAAAAATAATTTTTTAAAAAGCATGTTGCAGAAAAATTTGCAAAAGAAAAAATCAGAAAATCTAGAGCAGTGTCATCTGCAAGCAGGTGGTGCAGTATCAGCTCTTAAAGTTCTCTGCCAGAAGCTCTTGAACTTTGAACATTTTTTGTTTTGCTCAACATACAATTTAAAGTAACCTACAGAGAACCGGGATGTTTTGTTACTACCTATTTTACCAGCATCCCAAATGCCAAAATGAGAGGCTAACACCTTATTTGGATATGTGCTTTGCTGGCTTTAGCACCTCTTCAAATCATCTAAATAATACTCAAAGATAGTTCTTATCAAAATTTCTAAAGTCCACTCAGGTAGAATGAAAATTTCTTACAACCTAATTCTTGCTATTGGCCAGGGGTAAGAAAAGCCAAAGAAGAAATTGCCTTTAATTCCTTTCATGAAAAATGAGCCTGCCTCAAAGTAATACAGTAATTTTTACTGTAATTCAGTTCCAGGAATAAAAAGCAACAGAAGAAGGATGTCCCTGCAGTGTTTATTTATAACATCAATATGTTCCA